GATTCTCAACCGCTCCTTCTTCTTCAATCAAGCAAAGCGATTCCAAATTCTCACAATTGCCAATAATAAGTGTCGTCAATTTGGGAAAAATGCCCAAGGGGAAGGACCTCATTGAATCACAGCTATTCTGTATACGCAAATAGTTGAGCGATGTTAATTTGGCCAACATCTCATGAGGTAGGAATTCTAATCTCCTACAAATGCATATATCTAGTGAAGTCAACGAAGTGGGTAGGCCATCTTCAGGGAACGACGACAAGGTTGGACAATTCCAGAGAGTCAAACTTTGAAGACGATTGATGTTGGGTAAGAATTGTATGTCATTAAAACGTCACATCTCATGAGGTAGGAATTCTAATCTCCTACAATTGTATATATCTAGTGAAGTCAACGAAGTGGGTAGGCCATCTTCAGGGAACGACGACAGCGTTGGACAATTCCAGAGATTCAAACTTTGCAGACGATTGATGTTGGGCAAGCATTGTATGTCATAAAAATTTCTAATCATAAGTTGGGAGAGGAGTTTTGCCTCTAGTAATGATAACAGACCTGTTTGGCATCCATCTTCTATTTTCAATTCTCGAAGAGAATTGTAGTTGAGATTAGTACTAGTACTAGTAGTAGCAGTGGCCCTTTGATCATGTAAAACTCCACACCCTTCCACGCTAAGCTTCTTCAAGCAAGGCAGATCACAAGGCAAGCTTCCTCTCAGCTTTGGACACATTTCTAGAATTAGCTCCTGGAGACGAGGAAAGTCTGGACCTCCACTCCCACTTGGTACCCATTCCTCCCACTCTGCCATCTCCGTAAACTCCAGCTTCTCCAGCGATTGAAATGGCTGAAATGGCTGACCATACAACTCAGGACCTAATGTCCTAAGAAATTTCATATTACATACGAAGAGCTCCTTAAGAGTAGGTAGCTGTCCAAGCGGTGGCAACTTGAAGCAATAATGACAACCTTCAAGGCGCATAACTTTTATTTTATTGAGGGCAGAGTCTCCCAACCAGTTTGGGAAGCTGGTCCCGCCATAAAGTTTGATGGTCAATCTCTCCAAATTCATGCAAGGTTGGAGCTTGTCAAGTACATATCTCACCTTTTCGGAATGATCGGGATCTTCGGAGCCCCATGCCAACTCTAACTCCTTGAGATCTTTTTTGTTCTTCAAATTAGCTTGCAAGGCATCCCTACCATCAACCACATTATTAAGCTTCAAAATTGAAATTCTTCCTCCAAGATGGGACAACTCCCCCAATTCACCAATAGGCGACCCATTAGATTTCCCCACAACAAAAGTAGTCAATGTTCTCAAACTTTTTAGTCTACCCATTTGCACCGGCATCTCTTCAATTTGTGTTCCACTACAATCAAGATGCCTCAAGTTAATCAATTTTCTCATATCTGCAGGCAATTCAATTAGAGAGGAACAATATGATAATAGTAATGTCTGTAGACTGTAGAGAGTGCAAACTGTGGAAGGTAACCTCTTGATTGCAGTTTCAGAGAGATCCAAGTAGCGCAAATGAATGAGGTTACCAATAGAATTGGGTAACTTAAAAATATTACCATATTTTGACAACTTTAGCACCCGTAAACATAATAGAGATGGCACTAACTCATGTAAAACCCTTTTACTTACATATCTCTGATGCCATTCTCTACTTAGAGGTAGGAAGGTTCGCAAATGCTTAACCTCATATAATGGCTCAAATTTCGCAGCACAATCAAATTGCCCTATAGCATACGACAAATGCCGAACTCTTTTCAAAACTTCATGTGATTCGCCCCCTTCCCATCTCAAACAAGATTCCCTTGACACAGACATAGCTAAGTCATTGATGAGATCATGCATTGTGAACTTCTCATTTCTTGATCTTTGAAAAAATGATCGTGACAATAAGCCATCAAAGTATTTCTTAGTGAGCTCTTCCATTCTTGTTTCACTCTCTCCTTGAGGAATTAAACTTTCTGCCACCCAAAGTCGAACTAAATATTCCTTTTTGAATTTATAGCCTTTTGGGAAAATTGAGCAATAAGAAAAGCATTGTTTTAAATGAGTTGGGAGATAGTAGTAACTCAATCTTAGAGCTGGAATTGTATTACATTTTTCAGGAGGCAGCTCCCAAATATTGCTATTTAGTATGCTATTCCATTCCTCATAATTTGTGTTGAAACGCAAGAGGCCTCCAAGTGTTTCTGCAGCTAAAGGTAAACCATTGCACTTCAGGGCAATTTTCTTACCAACTTCTTGCAGGTGTAGATGTGCACTCAAGTTTCCATTTTCAAAGGCGTGTTTTGAAAGTAACAACCAGCAATCCTCATCGGACAGCTGTTCCAAAAAGTGAATCGGAACGGTGCGCATGCGAGCTGCAACACTTTCATTACGTGTTGTCACGATGACCCAACTTCCCCTTGCCCCGATGCAAAAGGACGTTGCAAGAGACTCAAATCCTGATAATTCTCATTCCAAAGATCATCCAACACAAACAGAAATTTCTTGCCCTTTATTTGTTGTCCTAGCTGATCTTGAAGAGAACTCAGGTCTTCATTATCGTAAGCTTTTGGACTGACTGACTTAAGTAGGGTCTTAGTTACCCTAGTAACATCAAAAGCTTCCGAAACATACGCCCAGGTTCTAAGATTAAAATGCTCTTTCACTTTGTCATCATTATAAAGGAGCTGAGCGAGGGTTGTCTTGCCAACGCCTCCCATTCCCACTATGGTGATGACGGAGACATCCTTGTCGCTTGCATCATCAGATAACAACAGTTTCATCAGCTTTTCTTTATCTCCATCTCTACCATACACACAAGATTCATCAACCAAGGAAGTTGTTGGAGTTCTTTGAGAAACCTTTCCCCCAACAACACCTTCTCTCAGGCCAAGCACATCCTTTTGTTTTGCTAGGTGTTCTAATCTTTCAAGTAACTCTTGAATCCTACCATTCATGCCTTGATAAAAAGGATTAAGAGAAGTAGAGAAGAAGTTCAACACCTGATTTGTGACGGTTTGAAATTCAGCTTCCCCCTTGCATCGCAGAACCTCAGCATTGATCTCATCCAGAAGGTCATCCGCATCAAAGACAGCATCTTGAAGCTCATCAAGCCACTCTTTGACGTAAGTGTTCGTGAACTGCTTCTCCTCCGCGTCATTAAGCACTGCATTGAGGCTCAACAACGTTATCTTCAGTTTCTTCACAAGCGACTCGTCCAGTTTCTTTCCCCCGAACAAGTCCCTGAACTCACGAGAACCAATCTGGTCGCACAGCACCTGCACGGAAGCAGAGAGAAAAGCCTCTCCAACCAAAGCCATGTTTCGATTCTTAGCAAAGGATTTGGACTTGAGTTAAGATTTGAAGCAAGTTATGCAGCAAAGGATTTGGCTGTTGAGAACTTGAGTTAAGATTTATGTTGCTCTCAGATAGCTCAGCTAGCACAACTTGGAAATACAGGTAAGGCAATATGAAAGCTTTTGTGATTGTAATTATATATTATGTATTTAACGAGTACCGTGGTTGGCTGTCTTGTCAGTGTTCGATTTTTTTTTTTGCGTAATTAATTTTTTTTGCGTACATGGGTACGGTTCGTCAATACCATTTACTAATTCAAATTGTGCAGGTGGGCTCTTGGGACCCACACGGCATAAGGAATAATACTCTGGTTTGGACTATTGGAGAGTGGAGGATGACAACAAGACAACGACAATTCAACGGTCCGCAAGTGGAACAGACTCGAATGCCGTTGAT